GAAATTATGAAATACAATTGATCCTAATCATTCCAACTGTGATTGGTCTTATAATAAAAATTACCAATTCGAACTTAAAAATGATATTTTGCAAATAGTTTCGGCTCAAAAAACGTTCAAAATTAAAGGCGGTAGATGGAAACGAACGTGCAGTCAGGTGCTGGGCACCATCGCGTGTCCGGATCCATCATCAAAGCACGCCGTAATGCGAATGTTTCATATTTTTCCAGCATTTCCGGGCAATTTGCCATCAGCGAGTAGATGTCCGATGGATGCATGAGTTCAGTGCATTCGGGGCATGTCAATTGTACTCTACTTTCCATTATTTCCACTTGCAGATACTGAAAAAAGTTCGCTGTATACTGAACGCTTTTGGCTGAAGAGTTACCAAATTTTACCCAGCTGCATACCTCGATACTAAGTAAATTGCAAATTCCTAAATCAACAAAAATATTTTAAAATTCATTTTTTTTGCTAGAAAGAACCGGGGAATTTTATCTAATTCTGTAGTAAATCATCATAGTCTAACAGTCACAATATTCTGGATGAAATGATACTCAAAAATACGCCAAGGACAACCGGAAACGGTCAAAGTCTTGTCAAGTACTTTTGTCGTAAAACCGTTCAGTTAATGCTCTCTTCAAAAAGCAAACTGAACGTGAGGATCGCCAGTTTTTTGTTCATCAAAAAATGATCAAATTTCCCATTTGGCATTGTGCTAACTCGAAAACTAGCCGGAAAGCAGTAGCTGAAATTTTGTCAGGATATTTGTTGTTCATATGGAAAATCGTGTTCCTAAATTGAGCTTCGCAGTACTGGTCAAAGCAACTGGGGAAGTTGCCAGATGCACAGCTGAAGAATTAGCCTATGAATTAACATCCACTTCACTTCTACCAAAGAAGTGCCCAAGTAAATCAATTGTGTTCAAGCAATTTGAATGGTTTTTTTTTTTTTTTTATTTTCACCTGTACAAGGCAAGTTTTGCATGATCGATGGGTGCAGCATGAGATGCGCGGAAAATGACTGAGCGGCTGTCGTATGAAGCAGAGCGGGCATTCCCGGTATTTTCGAAAAGGAGTAAGTGAAGCACTGTGTTGACGTGAACTGCTGTCGCCTGATGTACATGAATGCAACGATCCATTGTTGTTGAGCGGCGCTTGCTCAGATTCGGTCCCATTCTGGCCAAGTGTCGTCGTACCAAATCCTGAAAAATATCGGCATCAGTGCGAGCATATTTCAAACCGAAACGTTAATTCTGTGTTTGGGAATAACGAATACTGCAGCACGTGTCGACCGACTTAGGCTTTAATTGTCTTCATCCGTCAGAAACCAAATCCGCTACATATATATATATGCACACAAGCGCATATACATACGTATATACATACATACATATATACATAAATATGTACATATATACGTATATACATACATACATACAAACATACACACATTCATACATAACAAACATACATACATACATACATACATACATACATACATACATACATACATACATACATACATATACAACATACATACATACATACATACATACATACATACATACATACATACATACATACATACATACACACTTACATACATATACATATATACATATATACATACATATATACATACATACATACATATATACATATATACATATATACATACACATATACATTCATACATC